TAAATAATCATCTCAAATTTACTGGTATGTAAAGACTAATTTATAAACTACACAAACGCTATTGTTTTTTTCAAAATTTTTTCTATATAGTGTTTTCTCCACATTTTCCCCTTTTATAGATTTCTTTCTTTCAAACTAGCTCTTTTTTTTAACTTCAATTTAATCATTTTAACATCAACCGAATCTTATTAAATAAACTTAAAATTAACCCTTTTACGAACCAAATTAACCGTTATTAATTTCATATTAACCCTTTTATGAACCAAATTAACCCTTTTTTCACGCAACTAACTCTTTTTAATTTCAAATTAACCCTTTTAAAAACCAAATTAACTCTTATTAATTTAAAATTAACCATTTTTTCACACAATTAACCTTTATTAATTTCATATTAACCCTTTTACGAACCAAATTAACCCTTTTTCACGCAACTAACAATTTTTAATCTCAAATTAACCTTTTTAAAAACCAAATTAACTCTTATTAATTTAAAATTAACCCTTTTTTCCAAGAATTAATCTTTTTTCAACCCAAATTCAGTTTTTTAAAATTCGAAATAACCTTTTCTCACCCAATTAACTCTTTTTAATTTCAAATTAATCACTTTTATTTTCAAATGAGCTATTCTGTTGAGAAAAATGCGCGGAAAATAAACTTAAAGGAAAATTCCAGTATATTTGAGAATTCTTTGTAATATATAATAATGGGGCACTTAGAAGTCCATATAAAAATTAATTACGATTATTATTATTATAAATTATGTAAAATTAAATATGAAAACAAATTATTTTTCTTAAAATTTGAATTGTTTTTCAAATGCAGGAATTTCACTTTGAATGCTTACATTTCATTTGATTTTCTAGGTTTTTCATGTTATAAAAAACGGTTAATTTGATGTTAAAAAGGATTAATTTAAAATTAAAAAGGGTTAATTTGAAACTCCGCGTTGTGTTTAACATTCTTTCCTCATTTCACCCAAAATTGAAGCCGGGTTCGCAAACTTGAGTAAACAGTTGGGGAACGTATTCAATAAGGTTTTTGTGCGAAATTTGCACAATTTTATCTAAACACAAAAATTTGTGCAAACAAGGGAATTTTTTCTATATCTGGCCATTTTAAAATCTCCGAAACATTTGAATTATTTCTGTTATAAATAAAGCATTTTTCTATTGAGAATGGCATTTTTACTAGCCTCTGATAAGATGAATCATCTTTATTTTCTGACAGTTTATAAATAACGCATTGTTATCTTCTACTTTGCATTATTCAACTGACAACCTATTTAATGTAGTCTCTTTGTTAATCAAATTACCCATTTTTAATTTAAAATTAACCCTTTTAAAGTTCAAATTAATAGTTTTTAACTTAAAATTAACCATTTTTAATTTTAAAATAACCCTTTTTAACTTCATGTTAACCCTTTCTTAAGAAAAAAGGGTGGATAATAAACTTTTTTTTTTTCAATTAAAAGAATTTTACTTTACACCCTTACATTTCATGCCATCTCCTAGGTTTTTTGTTTTAAAGAAAGAGTTAATTTCATATTAAAAAGGATTAATTTGAAGTTAAGAAGGACTACTTTGAAATTAACAGGGGTTATTATACGAAATTAAAAATGGTTAATTGGAAGATATAAAATATTTAAACTTAATAAAGGCTAATTTGGTTAATAACTGTTCCGTTCTTAATTTCTCAATAGGACTTTTTAATTGAAATTTAAACCTTCCTTTAACACATCAACTGCCCAAAATAAATGTTTAAACTCATAAAAATTCGATGTTACTCTCAAACAGAATCAATTATATTAAATAAATAAATAAATATGTCAAATTCAACTCAAATTCACTCTTTTTAATTTCAAATTAACCTCTTTTTTAACTTCAAATTAATTCTTTTCAATTTCAAATTAACTATATACAAAAAGGGTTGAAAACCTCTAAATCTAAAGAATGTGTTCTTTATGACAAAAGGTCTGGAGTAGTAAGTTTCATTCCATGGAATTAAGCCTTATCTCTTTTTATTTCAAATTAACCTTTCAACTTCAAATTACGTTATTTTGATATCAAATTAACTCATTCTCTGAAGGCTTAAAAAAACTTAGAACTTGGTATGAAATATAAGCATGTAAAGTGAAGTTCCTGCATTTGAAAAACTCCCAAATTAAAAGAAAAACCAGTTGCTTTTATTTTTATTTTTTTTCTATACCGACATCCTTCCCCACCCCTTCAAAATCCAACATATATAAACACAAAATAGCAAAATCTCACTGGCACTCTCGACACGACACGCAAGAATGGCACAATTACACAGAAAACAAACACTTTGAGCTCTGAAGATGATCTCAATAAAGATCGAAACGTTGGCACGATAAAGAAAATGTTTTTCTGAAACCTACATCACACCAGACCGCATCTCACGATTTCTAAATAAATATTTATTTTTAAATTTATATTATTATTAATTTTAATTGCAATTAATTTTCATATGACTTTTTAAGAACCCAATTATTTTATATATTAAAAAAACATTCGCAAGTAGAGAGAAATTTTACTTTACATGCTTATATTCCATACATTTAAAAAAAAATGTTTTCTCTCTTTAAAGAAAGTGTCAACCTGAAGTTAAAAAGGGTCATTTGACCTTAAAACGGGATTAATTTAAATTGAAAAAGGTATAATTTTATTAATTCTTCCGTTTTTATTTCTCATTAACCCTTTTTAATTTTAATTTAACTCTTTCTTTGAAACATCAAGTAGGAACCAAGAAACTTTTAAATTTTCAGAGGTATTTATCAATTAAATAAAACCAAATATCCATTTCGTACGTTAGAAAATTTAAAGTGAGCACTTATTTAACACATTTGATTATTTTCATTACATATCAATTAGTTATTAATATTAATTAGATAATTGTTTTAAATAAACAATTTGGTTTGTTGATACACTATTTTTTATGGTAATTTACGATATATATTATTCGTTGAATTTAAATGCTTTTACTTACTTTTCGTTTAAAAAAATAATTTTTTTACTCATTATTTAATGCTATTGAACCCTATTGTTTTGTTTAGGATTAATTTGATAAAACCATAAATACCACTATTATTATTGAGAATCAGACAGGTGTACATAGAAACATTTTAGGTGTAATTACACCTATTGTTATGACCCTGAATCTCCTGTATACATTGAAATTCAAAATTAAATTATATATAATAAATTATATAAAAAGAAACTGAAATAAAATAAATGAAGCGCTAAGAAAACTAGTTAACAATTATTTTTGTAAAGTTTTCAATGTTCCTATTCTCTCACAAGGAAAAATAATGTCAATTATAATGTATATTGTGGTAATCGATATTGAACCGTATGTGGGCCAGGACTGCTTGAATGAGGAGCAACCCACCCCCATTGGGCGGAAAAGCGACCAACGCCCAAATATAATTTGGGTTCATCGATCTTTTTTTCTAGAGTGGTACTGGGAAAAATTTATCGACGGTACTCAGTGTGTTGTTTCGAATTGTCGTCACATCTGATAACACGTTTTTTCATTTTTTCTTTTCTAGACAAAAATAAAAATCCAAGCTCACAGGTTTTGAAGTTTTTTTTAAACAAATTTAATAATAATGGTTTTCTGATACAAATATTTGCGAAAATCAGGGCTCGAAGAAAATACAATTTTGAAAAACAATGAACTTTTACTAGCCTCTCTCCGATCGGGTAATATGAATCCTCTTTATTTTCTGATAGTTTGTAAATTTCTGATGTCTTGACTAAAATTAACCCTTTTCCCACCAAATTCACACTTTATAATTTCAAATTTTATGAAAAAAATAAGTTTTCATTTTAACTTCAAATTAACCCCTTTTTAACTTCAAATTAACTTTTTCAATATCAAATTAACTATATACAGAAAGGATTAAAAAAAACCTAAGTCTAAAGAATTTGTTCTTTACGACAAAAGGTCTAGAGTAGTTAGTCTCATTCCATGGAATTAGCCCTTAACCTTTATTAATTTCGAATTAACCTTTTTTAACTTCAGATTAACTTTTTCAATTTCAAATTAACTATATACAAAAAGGATTAAAAAAAAGCCCTAAGTCTAAAGAATCTGTTCTTTAAGACAAAAGGTCTGGAGTACTTAGATTCTTTCCATGGAATTAACCCTTAACCTTTTTTATTTTTAAATTAAACTCTTTTTTAACTTCCGATTAAGTCTTTTCAATTTCAAATTAACCTCTTTTTAACTTAAAATTAGCTCTTTTCAATTTCAAAATACCTATATACAAAAAGGGTTGAAAACCTCTAAATCTAAAAATCTGTTCTTTAAGACAAAAGGTCTGGAGCAGTTAGTTTCTTTCCATGGAATTAACCCTTATCCTTTTTTAATTTTGAATTAACCACCTTTTTTAACTTCAGATTAACTATTTTCCTTTTCAAATTAACCCCTTTCTTAATTTCAGATTAACACATTTCAATTTCAAATTAAGCTTGTTTAATTTCAAATAATGAATAAAATAATAAATAATATAAATTATTAATAAAATTAATAAACCTAAACCAAACGTTTTAATATACAATAATTGGCTCTTGAAAGATCATATGAAAATTAATTACAAAATGTAATTAAACATATAACACAGTCGCCTCTGGATTAGCGATGCACTGAATTACATACGTTCGCGACCCAAAATCATATTTATATTTTCGTCAAATTCATATTTATATTTTTTAGTTATAGGTGGTAACCTGACTTACAGGGGGCTACGTTATTTTTTAAATTTTAATTTTTTTTTAAACCAATTCCGGTTTTTTTCGAGGACCGTTTCAAGCCCTTAAATAGTAAGTTTCATCCCAATAAAAAATACGAATTTTTTAGCTAGTGTAGGGAACGGGGATTGGGCAAACGAAAGTTGTAAATAAATTTAAACAAATTCAGTACGCTCGGGGTCCGGGCAACGGCCGGGTCGTCTTTCTGCTGACAGAGTCATTCCCACGCAAAGGCAAGGGGCCCCCGTTCCCGACGACTGAGATTTGTATTTAAACAAAATTAATTCTTTGAAGACAGTCATGTTGGGATCGTCATCGGGAACGGAAGAAAGACGAACGAGCGTACGATGTTGACCTTGTGTGCAGGTGGGTGCCTCAAGTTTCACTAAGCCTGGAGAACTAGATTACCTATGTTGGGTTAAATTTGGTTGTATTTGGAACATTGTATTTGGGTTAATTTTGACTTAATTTTAATATAATTGTGTGGGTTGATTTTCAATATAGTATTTGAATAAAAATTGATTGGGATTATTTTGATTGAATTTATAATATGATAGTTGGGTTAAATTTGGTTGTATGTGGCTAATTTTGATTGAATTTATAATATTTTAGTTTGGTTCAATTTGGTTGTATTTGGGACACTGTATTTGGGTTAATTTTTATTGAATTTTAAGATGATTGTTTTGGGTTGTTTTTCAATATGGCATTTGAATAAAAATTAGTTGAATATGATTATAGTTGGGTAAACTGTGTATCCTCCAACCTGTGTTTCTTTCCCTTTCTCCCGAGACAGTACGCACCACTTGTACCTCCCCTAAACATTTCCCTGTTTCTAGTTGTGGCCGGCTTACATTGGTGTGGGGTATCTTGCAACAAGAGATACGCACCGACGTTCAACATGGCCGCGACAGTGGACGAGGTGGCGGCTCTTCGACGAAAACTAGAGGAAACACTGGCCACTCTCGAGGTTGTGAAAGGCGCCAACGACCAGTTCCGATAGAAGGAGGAGACCGCTCGCCCAAGAAGAATATGGTATTACAGAGTATGGTTCCCACGTGGTCGGGAAGTCCGTCAGACGTCTGTAGAAAAATTCCTCCGATGTGTGGATGACGTCGCAAAGAGCGGAAATTGGGAAGAAAAGGACAGACTTGTAGTCGGTCGGATCCGACTGAAGGGAGCTTCAGCGGCCGGCGGGAACTGACGGGGCCGGAGTACTTCTATAAACGAGTTCTGTTGGAACGATTTAAGGAGGCGTCCAAACCGGAACAATATCTGCTGCAGCTGCACTCCCAAAGACGGGAGAGAGGGGAGACGCGCGAGCATTCGCTTTTTGGTGCAGAATTCTTGGGGAGATGACCCTGACTCACAAAGGATATCGAACGGATATATATCAAATCGATAGGACTTCTGCCCGATTTTGGCGTGTGTCGACCCGGGATTGAGCGGGTCCAGACTTTGCCGACGGAAATAAGGGGGCAGTAAAGGAGGTACAGGGCCTAGTGCCAAACGGACACACCCTCAAGATCATCTTCGACCCGCCCTTACTGGACGGAGGCCGAGAGATCTACCTCTAGTGGGTTCGATCCATCCCAATAGGCGTTCCAGGGACGGCGCTGCGGATTGTAGCCCGATTGGAGGCCGACGACTTGCTGGTCAGCACAGATAGGGAGTTCTACGCCCTCCTAGCGGACGCGGACGTTCGGTCGTGCCAAAAAGGGGAGAAGTGGATTTGTCCAGCATCATCAGACGTCAATGAAATGTACCTTCCTGCGCCAGCGCCCTCTACTACAACGATGTGGAAGACAGTAAGCGGCTGTGCGATGATTGGGCCGTGTTCACCACCCCACACAGGCCGGTCTGGTGGCCGGGACCCTGGAGGACACCTGGACCTACAGCGTCTCCAGCCCCACGCGAATTTTAATATGATTGTGTAGGTTGATTTTCAATACGGTATTTGAATAAAAATTGGTTGAATGTGATGATATTTGGGTAAACTGTGTAACCTCCAACCTGAGTTTCTTTCCCTTTATCCCGAGACAATACTACCCCTGGTACCGCCCTAAGCATTTCCGTGTATCTTGTCATGGCTGACTTATACTAGACCCGGCGGGATTAATTTTAAATAATCTTACGAGAATTATATTTAATTACGGTTAAGGAAGTTTTTGGTTCCAGTATGGATTAGAAACAAGTTAGTCTTTGAGATGGGTCAGATTAGGTAGGGCTGGAGTTCGGTAAGGACGTGTTCGGTTCGGTTAAGGAAGGTTACGAGTAGGGCTAGGTTAGAAGCGAGTTAGTCTTTGGGATGGGTCAGGTTAGGTGGGTATTTATTTTTCCTATATTATCACAAAAATTAAAATAAAATAAATAAATAAACAACCAGTAAAATAGGCGATGTCCGTAGCCACCCCTCGTTTGTGTTAGGGCAGAATTTGGCCATGTTGGCATGCTGGATATATTTTGTTATTCCTTAAAAGCTCGACGTTGGAATGAGTGTTTTTCGAGAAAAAATATAGTTTATTATTTATTTATATTTATGTATGGAAACAAACTGTTAAATGGATTTTTCCTACCAGCTGGTAATAAACGACATGATGAAATAATTAAGAAGACTAAGAAAATGTAATTATAAAAAAAAGTATTTTTTTAATATTATTTTTGATTATTATAATTTTTGAATATGAAAGGTTATCATTGCTTGTGATAATTAAATTGATATTTGATTTTTTTTTACCAGACACTTTAACTGATACAAGAAGAAATTGTCTCTAACCTTTCTTCGTTTGAGACTGGCCACGGTCATATCTACCACGTCGATATCAATTAATCCAAATTATCTGCGTTAACCCAGATAATAGTTCAGATTAGTTACGCTCATTTGCGAGTTTCATTCAATCGCTCGGGCAAGATCTGTAGGATAAGCTCTTTTCAGACGAAAATCAAAAGAAATGGTCGTGATCAGTTTGTATACACAAATAAGTTAAACCATTTGGAAACGGATAAATTTCGGCATCTAAGACAAATTATAGTTAGTTGTTCACGTATTTCTCAAGCCTAAGGAATCATGTTTTTATTGGTGTATTTATAAATACCACTTTCGATATAAAGTTCAGTGAAAATGTGTTATTTAAGCTTAGAAAGCTTTATTTATTAAAACTTTGGTAGCTGAAAACAAGCGTCTATACATTTCGATTCGTTAAATTACATCGGCTTTCAAGAATTTCCTGCACATAAGAAGTTCACAATATCATTATATTTATGTTTCTTTACGCTAAGTGGAACTTTTTAAATTTCAAATTTTTTTGAGCGAAGGTTCTAAGTGATACAGATTCGGCTAGAAATGTAGCATTGCTGAAAGTTGGAAAAACTCAAGCGTATGTGGCCAGGATGCTTACAGGTTACACAAAAAGGCCTAGACCACCATCGTGTCACATCTCAGAGAGATGATCGTTTTATTGTTTCGAATGTACTCCTAAGTCCTAATGCTGTTGAGATCAAGGAACGACTTCATCAAGCTAGAAATGTTAATGTCAGTTTACAGCACTGTAAGGTGAAGACTTGCAGAACTGCTTTACGTGAAGAAAGGTTTGCCACTGGTCCAGAACTTCTGACAAGGCACAGAACGTTCGGTTAGGTTTCACAAGAAATCACATCAATTGGACTGAGCAAGATTGGACCAAAATCTTGTTTTTGGATGAGGCCAGGTTTTGTTTTAGGTCTATTGACGACCGAGGGAGGGTTTGCAAAAGAACAGGGGAGCGATATATACCCACAACATTTTCACTTCGGAGAAGCTATGGAGGTGGTGGTGCTATGGTTTGGGCAGGGATTTCTATATAAAGTCGAGGGTTTGCTAAAAGCTGTGCGATACATTGATAACATATTCAGTGTTCAGAGGTTGGCCCTTTTATGCCACTAATTGGCGACTGGTTTATTTTAATGCTTGACAATGCAAGGCCCAGCTAGTATCGCTGATGTCTACTTGGAACGGGTTTCAATTCAATGCTTGGAGTTACCAGAACGTAGTCCCGACTTAAACTATCGAACACCGTTGGTACGAGTTGTCAAAGAGGGTAAAAAGTCGCTCCAGTCGCGCCAGAAAATTTGCAGGAATTGAGAAATATCCCACAGCACTTCAAAACTTCATAAAATCCATGCCACGGCTAATGCAAGCGGTGACCAACGCAACAGGAGTAAATATGTACTCTGTACTGAATATTTTCTTCATTGTTTCCAGAGCAACTTTTTTGGTAAAATTGTTTTACTCAATTTAATTTTTTATTTAGCTATATCTTAATTTTCTTTTAAAATGTCCAATAACAAAAAATAAAAATTATAACGATTTCAAGGATTTCTTAAAAAAGAAAAAAAATTGTTTCTATGTGTAGAAAAACTCCAAATTTTGCTTTTTCCACAAGGTACCTCGATTTGTTGCACATAATTGAAAAGTACCTTTCCTTGACACTGTAAAAGGACGGTGTTATATTGCCACCTGATATTAGAATTCGTGCTTGAGCACTAGTTTGCGCACCTTGTTCAGATTTTCATGATGACTGAAAACTAAATTTATAACTGGGCATCTTCTTAGATTGAACGTCACGGAAAAGAATTGAACCTTGGATATGTAATTTAACCTGACACACCCCAACTTACCTCTAACCCTAAGTCTAACTGAAACCTTCCTTAACCTAACCGAAACTATCCTTAACCTTAACTCCATGGGATCTATCAGGCGAGGTTAGGTAAAGTTAAGGTTAAGGATGGTTTCAGTTACTCTAACCATAACCGTAACTTTCCACGACCTAACCGAACACGCCCTTACCCTTTATTTATATATATGAATTATATTATATAGGTATTTTTCGTAAGAGCTTCGCCTTCCAGCGGCCGATAATGTTTTTTTTTTTTTCAAAAATCACGTCAATCGTGAAAGTTTGCAACGACTCCACCGATCTACCGGATACTTCTACCGGGCTTTATGATCTTATAAATTACCCGTCTTATAAATCTCACAGATCTTATAAATTACATGGCACGAACATCACCTGCGTAAATAAATCAGAACCGGGGGTAAAAATAAAACATATGAGGAATTTTTGTGGATTTCGTCTTTATTTTTCTCACTTATTTATTCAGATATCGTGAGATGCGGTCTCACTTATAATGACATAAAATCCAAAAATTTTTGATATAGCCTGTGAGTTGAATATTCGTTTGTCGTACCGTCAAATTTGGATAAAATCCTTATGTATTTTTATGTGGAACACCAGACATAAACGAAAATAAAACATTTGAAATCTTTTTTGTAGGTTTCCTCCGTACTTTTCTTACCTAAAATATCGTCTTTAATTATTTTTTGTTTCCTTTAAAAATTCGTATTTAACGGTTTTAAAGGGTGCTTAAAACCAATCGTTTTAATAATAATTCATATATTCACTAGTTTCATGGTCCATTTTTCAATTAATTAAGCTTTTTAGTTGAGATGAAAAAGTCAGTGTCACGAAAGGGTTTCGAACCCACGATCTTCGGCTAGATACGCCGCTGCTGTACCACTTGAACTATCGTGCCCTCGATCCACTCGGACACTAACTTCCCATCTCAACCCCACCTTTTGAATTTTCCCTCCTTTTTGCCATTTTTCAAAATTCAAAGTGTGGGGTCGAGATGGGAAGTTAGTGTTCGAGTTGATCGAGGTCAAGATACCTCAAGTGGTAGAGATCGTGGGTTCGAATCTCGCTCGTGACACTGACTTTTTTATCTTAACTAAAAACCATAATTAATTGAAAGATAATTCATATACCTATCCTCGTGTAAATACTCACATGTTATTTAAAACGAAGAAAAAACACATAAAAAAAGGAGGGAGCTAAGAAAAACTTCTAACCAATTTTACTAGGGTGAAGTGTAATATCGAGACATTTTCTTAAATACTCACCTCAAAAGAATTAAGGCATCACTTCATGAACTGATCATGGTTTACAAAATGTTTTATATTTGACATGATTCATAATATTTTTCTTTTATATATTCTAAGAAACACATTTCTTGCGTGGAAACAATCTTCCAAAGTGCGAGTGAATGTGAGAATGAAAAAACCACGGAAAGTACCAAAATAGGAATGTAAAACAACGAAAAATTTGGAAACAGAAATGTCCGAAACGAGAGTTTTTGCAACTTCACAGCTTTTAGTACCCAGTTTTACTTCCTCGGCTCTTGATGACAGCTTGTAGACGACCAGGCATGCTCCGAACAAACCTGCGAATGTTTTCTTGCTTCAGTCCTTCCCACTCGTCCATTAGCGCTTCTTCAAGCTCCTCCAAAGTTATTGGCTGATTTGGACGACCTCGAATGGCCCTAGCTAGTCCCATATTGGGTTGAGGTCGGGGTTACATGCTGGTCAGTCCAAAACGTGAATATTGTGCTGTTAGGTACTCTCTCACCACTATAGCTGTATGTGGTCGTGCTCCATCCTGCATAAAGATGAACACCCGCATCGACAGCTTCGGGTCGAAAATGAACGTCTAAAATTTCTTAAATATAGCGCTGAGATGTCGAAGAAGAATCACGATTTCAGTTGGATGGATTGTTGTCTCCCTGTGATAATAACCCCCGAATGGTGATGATGGGAGGAAGCAGTAAGGGACGAAACGTCATTTCCTCTTCGCCAAACTTTCACACGCCCATCATTACCACAACGTGATCAGTTCATTCGGCGATCCCTTAATTCTTTTGAGGTGTGTAGTTTTATTGGCGTTGGGTCCGTCCAAGTTCCTATCCACGCCCTCATCAGCTCATCAGGTGAATATAGTTAAAGACATATTTGGGCTTTTTTTTTAAATAAAATTGTTACAATGAAAAATAAACGTTGTCTGCTCAATTTACAAGCTGGTGAAGTTGGTTCTGCTAATGCACGGTGGTTAATCATAGGCGTCGTTTTCTGAAACGTTATCATCATCCGACTTCAGCGTTCTCTTTACTGTTT